GGTCACCTACAAAGCAAAATGCTTAGATAATGTACAAATACTCTTCTGTTGATTACTAACATACAGTTAATGGAATTTATTTATTTATTCATTTAAAACTTTTTTAGGCCATTCCTTACTGTCATCTCAAGACGGTTGAACAGCAAGACAAAGATAAAAATAAAATAAAATACATCCTAATCAAATTCTTAACCAGCCAACTATAAGACCCATATTAAAATGATAGTCACACCTTAAAATATTGGGAAAATAAAAAGATTTTAGCCTGGCACCAACAAGAATAAAGTGACGGCACCAGAAGAACCTCTGTGGGAAAATATAACATCGTATCGTGATGGGTATTTCATTAATCAAATTATTGCACTTGAGATACAGCCCAAATATCATGTTCCTCAATCATGCCTCTTCTCCACTTTACCTTAAAGTAGGCTGACGGGGGGCGGACGGGGGCCTTGCTTGGAATTTATCAGGATGAAACCGCCTTAGGGAGAAAGATGCCTTGTGTGAGATACGAATGAGCATCTCTCCGGCATAATCGCCCAGCATGGAAGTGCAGGTGAGCGAGAGGAAGAAATTTCCGAGCAGAACATTCACCAGTCTGAGCAAATCTTTAATCTTAATAGTTTCACAGGAAAGAATTTAAGAGGCGTGTTTTAGGAAGAAAAATAAATGTCCAGTAAATTCACAATAGATCTTCCCTACAACCAAAACCTTGATTTTATTTAAACAATATTTTAATAATGTTTAATATTATCTATAGGTTTTAATTTCCAGCCAGAATGAATCGGGGTTTTTAATTTGTGTAATTTATATTTTTTGTATTTGTATTGGGCACGATGTTGTCTATTTATGTTTATTTATGTAAGCCGTCCGGGGCATTAAGAGATGGGACGGCATATAAAAAAACCCTCTAAATAAATAAATAAAATTACAAGGAGATCTGCCTTGTTGCCCCCCAGCTCTCATGCTGCCCTTTTAATAGTATACGAGGGAAAACAGGTACGGCTTAGTCATCGCGCTGGATTCTGAATGCGAAGGTTTTGCTTTGTGAAGTAGCTGCAAATATTGATGGACTGGAACCCACGTCATGGACTGTTAAGAGACTTATGGGAGGTGACTTGTCAGTGATGCTCTGAGAGAAATTCATGGTGTGAAAAGCTAAGGCTGTTTCATAAATCAGTTGATTATTAAGACCAACACTGAGACACTTGGAAGATCCCAAAAAGACTGATTTCTAAAGGCGTTACTAGAAAGTCGGGTTGTATTTATTTTAGTCTGAAAAGTACTCAGCTAGAAAGCATTTTAAAATGTGGATAATTTATAACACACTTTCTATAGCAAAAGGGGCACACAAGATAACATAGAACCTTTAATCAATACGAAACAAACCCCTTCTAACATACAGAAAACTGTACAATAATATTTCCACATCAATTGGCTTAAAAATATAGTATGTTTGAAAGATGACCAGAGACATAGCTGGTCTACCACAATGTGAAGGAGCTACAGATTCCTTCCCCTGAAGTTAGAGATGTAATTAAAATAAGAAACATTTACATAAAAAGAATGGCAACAAATACTGGGACCCCATTTTTAGCCATGATAAGCAGCAATGACCTGGAAATGAGCAAGCAGTTTGAAATTTGTGAGTTTCCCACATTATGGTTCTGTATTAAGGATGGCAGTACGAGTCTGCGGGAGCTCCGCATTGGTCTAAATCATGACCAATTATTCAAATTCATCAGCAGGAAGTTTAATCTTTTATTCCTTAAGATGGATCCCCAGCTGAGATTGCAGAGAGTTCCAGCTCAGCCTTTCTCCTAATCCATGGGTCCTCAAACGACAGCCTGGGGCCGGATCCGGCTCGCCATGCCCATTTGGACCCACCGCGTGCGCACGCGCCACTGCCCGCCATCTTAACGCCTGGGCCTGATGGGCACTTGCCTGTGGGCCCCATACTAATCTGTGTATGTTAACCCTTGGAAAATTGGAAAACTTCCAAAATTAACAGCAGTTGTAGTTGTCGTAGGGGCCCAGGACACTGCTTTGCCCGGGGCCCATCATGCTGTGAAGACGGCCCTGGCCGCGCCAGCCTGCGCACTCCGCCGGCACCGCCTTTCCGGCCCGCGGCCAGCACTGGCACCAGCACCTTTCAACTGGCCCCTGGTTAAAGAGTTCGAGGACCCCTGTCCTAATCCGATACTTGGTGGCCTCCAGACGTTTTGCCCACCAAAGCATTTCAACATAACCCCCCCCCCTTGCACCCTCTCTTTATACTGTTGGAAGGGAAACGGTCTCGAAAAAGGTCTCTCTGCAAAGGGCGATTGATGCCACAATAGACTTTCACGACTCGTGATGCTCAAACCCATGAATCTGGAGGGATTTGAACCCACAACGCCCAGTGCAACTCAAGCGCTGGACTACACAGGATAACGCAGAACAGATCTCGATTCAGGGCAGCCCAGAGCATCCCGTTCAGCTAAATTATAATTTATAACCTTCATAAATTATATCCGTTTATTAAGACGAGGCAGACTGTGTCCGCGTTCACATGTGCATGCGCACGGGTGGGGGACGTTCTAGTCTGGCTATTTTATCTCTCCTCTTGTGCTCTGGAGCATTTGGTGTCCATTCCAAAGCTATTTTGGGGGCAGCTGTTGCCTGGACGGCCGGCTGCTGGCTGCTATCTGTTTTCCCTTTTCGCTTCAATCATACCCAGCGAACTCCCTCAGAAGACCTGCTTCACATTGTAATTTCAAAAAGACCCACACAGGCATTCCGCTCATTGCTCACCCAGCAATGAAATTTTCCCAAATGACAAATCCTACATGATCTCAAACTAACGGGAAGATAGCGAGTGCGATACACTGATTTGGGCATTTCCTCATTTTTCCAGCGGCTTCTTCTGTTCTTTCCTTCCTTGCACTGCCACGGAGCCGCCTAACGCTTTCACAGTGAAGCCTTGTGTCCGGCGATATCTGATGCACCGATAGCATTGCAACACGTTCAGAATCCATTTGGAGGTGCTGCACAGACTGAAATTTCAGTGAGCTCCTGCCCAATTAAGTTAGGCACACAAACATAACAAAAACGGGGGATCAACCATGCTTGATCACCAAGCAGGTGACAGTATCGCTGGAGTGACAGGACACTGTACGAACAGCTCGCGATGTGCTTTGGACATGGTCTGTTGCAAAAAGTCTATTAGTTTGCCGGGGAGAAGTACAGTTCATTGCACTAAGCGCAGGTCAGCTTAGCGATTGATGTTATGTTGCTGTGCCTCTTGCCCTCTCCTATTTCTTTCTCCCAAAAATAAGTCCCTGGGACTGTTCAGCGATGAGTACATTGTCCAAGAAGCGCAAGTCAGGTGCTTCAAAAGCACTGCCCTGATGACGACCACAAAATGCTAATTACTAAGATACAAGTGCTCTGCTACTCTTTCTCAATTACAGGTTTTCAACCACATAATTTGATGATTAGAGGTGCCTGGAAAGCGAGATCAGAAAGAGCACAACTAACCTCTTATGCAATCCGCCCATCAACAGGAAGTCGCTTGCAACTGCTTGGCAGCCAGGCGCTCAAGGCGCCCTTTGCCTGTGCTTGAGCCCTTCTGGAGCAAGTCACCCAGTGTTGTCCTTTCCGCAGGCAGGGCCCGACGGAGCAACGGCGTACCTGTGCAAGAAGCAGGTGGAGCAGGACCTACAGGTAGGTGCAGCTTCTGTACCGGACAAGTTCCAGGGACCAGGCCAGAGGTCTCTGCCAGGAGACCTGCTGCGAAGCATCAAACTAGACACAACAGGAAAACAGCTCCTCTGTTTCCACGGGCACCTGCCTTGCTCATGCACCTGATTTCCATAGGAAAGGTGGGCTTGGGTGAAGGAGGATGAGCTCCCCCCCCCCGCCGCCCACTCATCACCTTCCCCTCCGCCCCCAGCCTGGCTTGTGCTTTATATTAGGCAGAGCCAAGCCAGGGAGGGAAGCACAGAGGAGGAGCAGAGTCTTTCGATCCAGCAACCTTCTTCCATCATGCCTTTCGGCAGTAACGTCCAGGATTCCGCTCTACTCATCAGCACAGCTCAGGTTAAAATCAGCATCCTGCTGAACACGGCAGACATGCCTGGGACGAACACACGGAGGCACAGAACGCCCCCGTCCTCCCTGGCATTACACCTGGCCCGGCCCTTGGCAACACGTCACCTGGGGAAGCCTCTGGGATCACTGTAAAAATGAGCCGTGCCCCCTGCTGTGTCAGCACGAAGGGGGCAGCTTATCTCTCTCCTTCCATCATGACTCGCATGACCTCCAGAGAGAAAAGCAGAGGACTGTTTGGGGTGCTTGAACCCCTAGCCCTGATCTTATCTCCTTATTCACTACGCCACCAGGATGGAGAGGAAGAGGGGCTTATAAAGCAGCAAGGCGTGGGAATTCATGTTCTTGCTTTTTAGCTCTCCCCCTTCCCTTCACCCCTTTGCTGGGGCACTTTTCCTTCTCTTCCCTTCAAGATGAGCGTACTTTTAGCATAGATCTGCCTCACATGGGCTACAAAACAGTGAACCTCTCAGACCTACATACAGATTGGAATCTAGTCCTTGGAAAAACCCAGACAATATGAGACCGAAACGAAAACACAGTCAGAACAAAGCAGCCTAAGGAAGGGCCAGAAACCGCTTTAACCTGCTGCTGAAACTTATTGTTCCACTGATACGGGTTGGGAGACACGGCTGTGCATGTCAGGCTTGCTCAGCACCAACCGAAGAGCTTGCTCTGTTACTGTGGAATAGCTGCTCCTGCTGCAGAACATACCAGAAAGGGCCCCCGTTCAGAGAAGTCTCGATACCTTGCGGTAACTGAGCCGTCCACACTGAACGGGCAGCGCTGCTGCCGGGTGGTGTTCACTGAAACACGCCAAGCGGCCGCCCATCCAGACAAGACGATGGCCGCGCACGGATCGGATCATGAGCACGGTGCGCTAGGCGGCACGTCCCGCTCGCATGGCTTACCAAGCTTCGTAGCCCCCTCCGGCGGATACTCGGGAAACTGGCCCTCCGCAGGAACGCTCACGGTGCGCCGCAGGCAACGCCCTCGGGGAGCCTCCGGCGCCTGCTCCAGCCCGCCTTCGACCGCCATCTGCAAGCAAGCGGGACAGGGTCCGTCAGAGCACTCTCCCCACGTAGCGGCCGGAAGCCAGAGGGAGCCTTCGGTGCCCAGGAGCCCTCGCGGTGGCCCCGGCTCCAGAGTGCGCTTGCGGAAGTGGACACGCCAGAGCTGGGCGGCAGCTGCCCCACCGTGCAGTCCAGAGCACCTGCGTCCGACCAGAGCAGGCGGGCCTCTGAGCGACGCCGCCAGTGCAATGCCGGGGTGCGGCAGAATACCAAGCTTGCCTTCTTCCCAGCACCAGCTAGGAAAGCCCATTCCCAACCTTCTCTTTGCTCCCAGTGGAATCTGAAACGCTGAGATCCTAATATAAAGCATATTCAAGGAGAGTGCAGGCAGGTGAAAACAACACATGAGTAAAAACACGCCGCTGTTCAACTGGAGATTTAACTAAAAGTGGTTCTTGTCCGTGCCAGCGTGTTCTCTCCTGAAGGCCCTCTCTCTGAACTACAAAGCATCTGAAGTGTCCAAATACCATTTGTTTTGGCAAAGCATTTTAAAATGCCATTGCAATCATAACCCAACTGTTTCCTCTGGCAAGAAACCCAAGGAGGCCTACATGGTCCTCCTCCATGTTATCCTCACAACAGCCCTGTGAGGTAGGAGAGGCTGAGAGTTAGTGACAGGCCCAAAGCCACCCTGTGAGTTTCACTGCCAAGTGGAGACTAGAACCTGGGTCTCCCAAGGTTCCAGTCCAAAAACCTAACCACTACACCACACTGTCTCCCGATGCAAGCTGAAATGCAGGAAACAGATTTACAGTATAAGGAAGCTGGGAGGTGGAGTTTGAAAAATCCTGCGTCCCAAGAAGCACAGGGCAGCTGTGCACACGGCCGGAGCAGAGAACCGCTGGCGCTTCGTCTCCCCGTCCTGCTCGCCTGCGTGGCTGCACGCAGTGCTCTCCTCTGATGGAAGAGGTGCTCTGCCCTACTTTTCCACCTGTGGCCCACATCTGTGCAGGGCGGGGGGAACAGGACAGAGAAGACCCGCTCACCTGAAACTGGATACATCTTATGGAATGGCCCCACCGGTTATCTGGAAAGAGAGGCAGCCCTCCTCGTATTCTGACTCACAGTGATGTTTACTCGGTATTTACGTGCCAGGAGGAATTTTCCAAGCTAGAAAATCTTGGACAATAAAGCAGATCCCCACTATCCCGCACTCTCCTGCTCTTAAGTGGCAGATGGTTTTCACATATTTATTTAAACTATTTACATACATTTGGGTATTACAAGATCTCTCCTTGGCTCACACAAACATACATAGCATGCTGTATAGAAGCTAATGTGAAAGTAATGATAAAAGCATTTAAAATGAGCAGTGTGACTAGAAGCACAGGGAAGCTCTTCAAGGGGCACGCGAGGCTCTCCCGCTTCTGTCTCTTGGACCACACGTGGCAGAGTGTTCCAGACCGTGGGTGCCACTACTGGAAGGCACCTCTGTGCTGTTACTTGATGGCACTTGGTTGATTGTGGGAGGACCAGCAGGACCCCCCCCCCCCGGAGTAGCCCAGGGGCCAGCTTGGTGTATACAGGGACTCAGGGCTCGGATGTCAGCAATACACCCTTCAAAGCGGCTCAGCAGCTCCTAGGCAGCTGGTGCGATCAACGGCACACTCAGCCAGTAGCCAGCGCACCCTCTGGTGGCTTAGAGGGCCCCAGTTCATAGAATGGGAGAGTCGGCAGGAGCCAGAGGGCCATCGGTCAGCGAGTTGCGCCGCCCCTCTTGACAGCTGTCCCGTTGAATCTTGAACGCCCCCAGTGTCGGAGAGCTCTTTTGGCCACAGGTTCCATTTTCGCACTGCTCTAACAGTGATGAAGTTTTCCCGGTATCTCGCCGGAATTTTAAAGTCAACATTACGATGGGAGAAAGAGCCCTGTTATAATGAAGGCTGAAGAAAAACCCTCCAGCTGGAAGAGACCCTCCTAAAGAAAGCAGTTGATCTAGGCTTGGAAAATGCCGCGGTTTGTTTGCACGTAATCCAACGCACATTTCAACACCCCACTTTTTAACAACCCTCCATTCAAGCCCTACTCCAACCGTGACAGTTGGTTCTCTGAACCCAGCCGGTGTCAGAGTTACCGAGGGAGTGTCTTCCACGGCTGGGGAATGTGCAAAATGCTCCCTCCCAAACTGTGACTGGTCCCCATCCTCCCGGCTTTTAGAAAGGGTGTGAAGACACGACTTTTAAACTGCACCACTGGCTCACCGCCTGTGATGTGCCTTGTGGGTCCAAGGCAGAACATCCACCAAAGGGGCTGCAGGCGGACGCGTGTTCCCCAGCAGCATCACCTAGCCCGCGTCAGAAGGATTTATTCAGTCCGGGCTCAGGGACCCCGGAATAGCTCCAGCAGGTTCTGGAAAGGCTCGGCTTTGGTGCCTCCCCTCCCCTGCCGGGAACCTGTCTCACCGTGAGGGCATCTTGCCTGGCTGCTCATTGTCCTCTGCACTGCCCGCTGCTTTGGGAACTGGGCCATTTTGCTTGTCTTGGCCTGTGCCACTTTTCCCTGGCCCGGCCAAACCTTAGCGGCCACTTACGGAGCATCTCTTGTTTTAGACCATAGTGCTTGCTTTGGGGTCCCACCTGACCTACAAGCCGCTCCCCAGGCCTTGGGACAACGATCTTGTTGTCACTTGAGAGACAGGCACCTGTGAAACCTGTCGTGGCTTTAATTAAAATCACCTTTTGGCCTTTTGACAAGGAAAGCCTGTCGGGCCCGGGCTGGATTTGACTCAATGTCTTGCATGGCCTTTCTTCTCGGCCTGCACAGGCAGTACCAGACGCGCCCCTTTTAGGCTGGAACACGCTCTCTGCATTTGGAGCAGGGCCAGGTGGCAGGCGGCTGACAGTGCCAAGAGAGAGAACACCAGCATGGCAAAAGCCTCTCCTTACCAACGGAAGTCCAACGTGTTCTTCACGTTAGATCTTTTCCCTGCATCACTCAAGACCACACCTCTGCTGGCTGTTACCGTCTCCAGGAATTTTAAGTGAAAATCTATTGCTAATTTACATTTATACTTTTTGGCTGAAAGCAAAATTGAGTCAGCTCACAAATTAAACAGATGCTTCAGGACAGAACCTTGGAAATACCAAGAGAATGAAGCCAGTGCGAGGTTTTTCCACAGAGCTCCACTTCTTCTACCTGAGGGCATTTTCCAACACGGCAAACCACCAGACGTTTTCAAATTATGTCCCGAGAAGATCAACAGCAGCGGAAGAGATGTCCTGAAAAGGGGCTTGTCCATCATTCCCTAAATGCTCTTGCACGCTACAGCACTGGAGGTTCCTCAGCTGCACACTCCACTCATGCGTGCAAAAGCCGTTGGTGCCACTACTGGGACCAAGCGGCCTTCAGAAAAAGGAGCTTGTGCATATTTCCTGCCTCTCACCTCTTTCTCCTTGTTCAGCAGCACAAGCTGGCTGTCAGTCAGAAGAGAGTACTTGGTCTCCCATATTACAGTTTCGGAATCAGGAGTCTGGCCGCAAGACAGCCTGTGGGTCGGTGGTCCCTTCACATCTGAAAAGAAAGAGCACAATTAAAACATTGCCTCACTCTGCTCATTGGACTCAAGAATCCCTTTTTTTGGGGCGGTGGGGTTCATGCATTTTGGTGGGAGCTACATGGCTGCTTCTTGTCATGAAAAAAGGGCATTTATCAGTTTAACAGAGCAATGCTCTGCATTCTTACTCAGAAGTAAGCCCAAGAGCATCGAGGGCAGCTTACTTCTTTGTATGTTAATTAGGACTGCACCCCTCAGATATTACGACGTGATTTATGGCAGCGAGATCCAACAGGACTGTCCACAATCTGCTGAATCGGGAGACCTACGGGCCGTCCAAGGAGGACAATTCTGCTGCCTGTACAACTGTAGTTTGAGTCAATGATGGCCTGAGAACTGGGCAGATTTTAATACTGCAATCCAGAATATAAAACCAGGAAAAGGGAGCGGGAAGTAGGAGAGGTCAAGGCCTATCTTGGCTTGTTCTTGTAATCAGAAACCACGGTTTGAGTTATTACTTGAAGCCCCAAAGTGTGGTCCTTATCAAATATCTGAAGAAGCGTCTTTAGCTTGTCATATCCCATTCACAAAAAGAGAAACTGGATAACGTGTTCAACAGAACTGATGGCAGGCAGATTTTAATGAAAGTTTTATTCATCATCCTCTGGAACTGCACTTCAGGGAGGTGAAAGTGACAGAAACGCACATGGTAGTGGCATGAATTTATTCTGGGGTCACCGGGGCGGATTGGGAAGGTGGCAGCTCCCCATCCAATCCCCTTCCCAGTTCACCATTTGCCCAGTTTAGCAACAATAGTGAAATGTGATACCAGTGATGCCACTGGACTGGAAGTGAAAGGGAGAATTAAAAGCATATGAAGGAAAAACAAGGGCATTGAACTAACACAACGCGGAGTTCATGGCAAGCGGCAGTTGATTAGAACAGTCAGTTAGATTTTTGGAACGCTCCTGCCCAGCAACACCTCTTTCAGGTGAGAGATGCGCACAGAAAGCCTTACATGCTAGGCCGATGTTCTTGCAGTTTAAAAAGCAAATATCAAGCAAACAATAATAAAGGACTAATCATTTTATATTAAGTGTGTTTGCAATCCTGGCTGCTTTGAACTGTTGTAAATCATCTTGCGATCTTGTCAGTGTATTGCTGTTAAAACCAAATAGATGGTGAATCACTAAGACTTGAGGAAGTACAAGACACAGAGAGAAAAATGATGGACTAATTTTGACTACCAATAAATACAGGATGGGAAATGTCTTGGTTTCGCAAACATGTTTACAGATGTGCAAGTGTAATACTTGGCAGAAGCTACAATTTTAAATATTATATAAATGTAGCTTTTCCTTTTCAATGTCATCAGAATTGCTTTCTTTCTACGCATTGACAAAAAGATAAAGTGACATTTTAACGTTAAACTTCACCACTAGGTGGCGACGAATCTTCATTCCTTTTCTAGGAAGGATGGACTGACAAGGAAAGCTTGTACACCTCGGACAGATATAAACACGTATATGCAACCCCCAAGCCCCCCATTAAGAAACACAAAGCATGGGAGCCCTGACTCCCAGCTGGCCTCTCCTTCCTGCTCTAGCTTCTTTCTCCAAATGCCAGTGGTTAAGCATCTTCTGATTTTCCTTCCATTTAAGGTTTCCCATTGCTTTCCATCCAACACTGGCAAGGTTCTAATCTTTACCTTTAAAACGCTCATCTTCTGGAGTTACCTGTCCTCAGATTCCACTCACAGAACCTCCCTCAGCCTCACACCTCCCAGCCCCATCACTGTCTTCCACATCCTCTTCCGTCGCCACAGGCGTCTGCCTTGCTGCCTCTCCGCTCTTCCCCAGACGTGCCCCGGGCTCCGGCCTCTTGGAAAGAGCTGGCTTTTCCGATACCCATCAGTTTCCCTTCCCGGTGGTCCTTCACCACACCCGCGTTTGGAGGGTCTAATTGCAAGCTCTCCAGCAGATGCAAGTCACAGGGCTCTTGAGGCACTTGTGAGAGTTAATTAGCATCATTAATGTAAGAGTTAAGTAGCATTGTTAATATGCTAATTTTATTTACCAGGCTCAGGGGAATGAATCTACACGCACTGTCTACCGATTCCATTTTTAGTGCCATTTCACTTCTTTCCAAGGAAGCTGTCCATCCTCCATACTCTAAGGTCCGCGCATCCCAGGCAGTGGGAGCGGCAGCAACAGGGAGGGAAGGCCCATCATCCCCAGCAGCACCAGTGTCCTCCTCCTGCTGGAAGGCCCCCCATCTCTTCTCCAAGGTCATTCTTTTGGCCTGGGGGATGCAGCCGATGCAGCTCCTTCTGCAACAGCTCCAGGGAGGGAAGGAGAAATTCGGTGCCAGTCCCTGGTTGTGACTGGTCCTCAGCCTCGGAGGTGGGAGTGCAAAGATCTGATGGCCCGCAGATGCTGCCTGGAGCACCACAATTGCTGCTGTCTTTCCTGGGACACACGGTTTTTGACACAAGAAGGGTGTTGTTAACTGTGTGCCATGGGCAGGCTTTATGCTTCCACCATTAGGCTCAACATCCAGCGCCAAGGGAGGCTCGGAGGGCAGCAACGAGGAGGGGGGCTCTCTCGGTGGTGGTGCCACATTGGTGGAATCCCCCCCCCCCCATACAGACACACTGCAGCATGCCTGGTATCAAACTTTTGGCAACGGGTTAAGGCGGCTTTTTATGCTGAGTCTTTTAGAGATAAATTTGGTTATCAGGGGCTCGAGGGGGTGTTTCAGAGCTTTGCTTTGCGTTTTACTAGTTTATTATTTTTTGGCTGTTTTTAAGATTATGTTTTTGGTATGCTTTTATGGCATTTTACTGCATTTTACTGTATTGCTGCTCAAAACTACCCAGAGAGTTTTAACTCTTGGATGGTATAGAAATGATATATGTGTGTGTGTGTGTGTGTATGTATACGTATATAAAGTAAAAAGTCCCTGAACAGTGGCGATGCATGACTACTTCGTCGTTTCCAAGAGTGACATTAGGAAGGGACTCGCTCTACTTGCCAAAGAGCTCTAAGTAAGAGCCGAGGGTTGCTTTGGAGGGGGGCGGGAAGGTGATTCTCCTTTGCAAAGAAAGTGCAAGTTCTCCAAAGAGCCCTTTGATCAAACAAGATGTATGCTACTGCCAAATTCTAAGAAACAATCTGTTTTAAGAAACAATCAAATTAATGCTATATGCCAGGCTCCCTGCATGCCATTCTTCATTATGAAGGATTTGGGGGTAAATACAAGTTTAGCTTAAATAAATGACCCACGCAAGCGTACATACACACGCGCGTGCGCGCGCACAGGGTCTTTTCTCTTTCTTTTAAAGTGGCCTTGTCACATTTTCAAGAGTTGGTTATATAGTTTAGGAGATGTTAGATTACATGGTTTCTATCTGGTAAGATTTCAGACTTATCATCTTGCATATAAAATGCATGCAGTTTACTATACTAGGTATTTCTGCGGTATTTTGATATTTATTTTTACAGATAAGAATTCTTCCTTTAAAAACTATAAAGATATATTTAAATATGCTGTTAATAAAGACCATGCTATGCAGCTATATTCTTCCAGATCCTGGCCGACATAGTTAAAATGAAGCATTCAAGAGCTGATCTGCCAGCATTTCCGCAGGATTAAAGATCACAGAACTACTTTTCCTATAGTTTGAGCCATAGCTTGAAAATAAGGGTTACTCATTCTCTTCAACCTCTACTGTTAAATTGAGAGCGGATTTAGCACAATTCTAGAATAATCTAATTCAATGTATTTCAATCCATATGGTTTGCAACTCTATTTTAGGGACTGTGACTTGAATTAAATGAATCTGTAAAGATCAAGGGCATTTTTCTCCCTTGGGTTGCTAGCAACACAACCGCCCCTCCTTTACACAGAGACTGCTAGCCTGAGCTTTCTCTGAGTAGCTCAGCCATGCTGCTATCAAATGGATCTATTCACAGCTTTTTCAACTCATGAATGACAGCGAGTGAATCAGCGGTATGAAGCATCTTTCTAAGAAATGAAGGATGTCCAGATAGCAAGGAGTGCCGCTCCTTTCTCTACAGCAGATTTATTTCTGTACCACCACTTTTGCCAAGCGATTCCCATATCAGGTACATGGGAAGGTCTTTAGCATTTATGTGAATGTTTTTTTAATAGCAGAAATATGTGTTTGTTTCATTCCACTTCTATGCTGCCTTATAACCTGAAGGTTCTCTAGACAGCTTACAAATGTGGAAACCAGCAAATGAATGCAATTGATAAAATGGATAAATGTCATAAAATCAGTAGGTTATAATAAAATTGTAAAACCACACACAGGACAACAAAATACAACCAATAAAACTAACACCCAAAATTAACAAAATATAAAATATAAATTAAATTAGCCAAAACCTTGTTTGAACAAAAGTTTTTGCCTGGCGTCGAAAGGAAGCATGGTCGAAGCCAGCCATATGTCCCTAGGTCTAAACGTCATTCAGTTTAAATTAACCTCAGTTCAACCCAAGTTTCATTGCTAGAATATGTTTCCCTTAATCTTGGCTTTCAAAATGAAGAAAGTGTAAAGCTTTACTTTCCCCTAAATTCTATTAATATGTTTCAGATGAGGCGTCCCTCCCAGTGCATTCAGAAAGGGCGACCAGTCAACAAAAAGGCTGACAATTTTCAAAAGCAAACTGGAAGGAAAAGGCAAACTTGGATGGGCATCTTACTGGGTTTTCTGGGGTTTTTTGCCTATCAATCGGGGGGGGGGGGGGGGGTTGGAGCCATTGTGAGACAACCCCATATCCCCGTCTTTCAAGACTCTTCCTCTCCTTGCCCACTGGAATATCACTTTCTTGCCTCTCTCCAAGGTTGTTTTCCTAATAACAGGGAGTGGCTGGTGCCATTCCTTCTACAGTGGCTGTGATGGAGCAGGAGAGGAGGATGGAGTGCCAGTTCCCAAGCTTGGATGTCCAGACTACCCTTTGGCTCCCCCGACTCTGCCTGGGGGCCACAGGAC